TTTATGTTCGCAAATTTTTCTGAAGTTTTACTAATTTGCTGTGAAAGTTTTATTAACCAATTCAGTTGCGGTGTTTATATTAGAATGAAATCATAAACCAGCTGTAGAATAATTGAATTAAATTATTATATTTTATTTTTTATTGTAAAATTTCAATACTATTCTGTTTGTAGAAACGTTATTTGTTGCAAAATTATCTTAAAATGGTTTATTGGTTTCTTAACCGATTTCTTCTCTATAATTAGTTTGATTTAAAACTAGGCAAAATATGTTCTTTACTTTCTGCTCAAAAAGTACCCGGATTTTGTTTCAAAAAAAATTTTTTTTTGTTATGTAGGTACACCCTTTCTTGACATATGGTACAAATTTGAGCGCCCTCTGTCAATTAGTTTGTTTACAGCAGTTGTTAATGTAAGTCTACCTAAAGTGCATTTAGCGATTTTTACTATGGAAAATTCTTGTTATACGCGATTTTTTGACCAAACACGGCACCACTGTCATCGCTCAGGCACCATATTCGCCAGATCTGGATCCGTGCGACTTTTTCCTGTTCCCGAAACTCAAACTTCCCCTTCGTGGCAAGCGTTTCAAGTCGATTGAATCGGTAAAAGAGAATTCGCTGAAGGAACTAAAAGCCATACCTTCACAGGCCTACAAAAAGTGTATGGAAGATTGGGTTAAACGTTGGCATATGTGTATCGCTTCAGAAGGAGCATATTTTGAAGGAGATAAAATAAATTTGGAATAAAATTTCAATTTGTGTGTTTTATTTACAAAATTACTCCATAATTTTGGATTTTTTAAAGAAAATACATATCTTGTTTTTTGTTTATAAAATTCTATAACACATTTATGAGTAGATTATTGTTGTGATATATATTTTCAATACATTGGATTTGTTTTTTTAAAAATATAAAAATTTCCAAATAAAATTGATTGAGTATAAATTATATCTAAACTCTATCAATTACTTATATTTAAATATAAAAAAAAAATTTTTAAATTTGTGTACATTCCAATTTTAGTAATAGTTCCATTAAATATGTTATGATGGGTTTTTATGACTGCCAAGTGCAATAATATTATTTCCATAATATTAATTCATATTTTCTTATTTATTATTTCTCAGAAATAATATCGTAAAAGTAACTTTACTTTAAGGAGTATGAGGATTTCTTACGCGGCACCAACAAAGGAATTGCATTAAAAATGTTCAAGCGACGACATCCTTGGTTGCTCGTTCCGCCAACGTAGCAACTAAAATGCAATAAAAAATCGCATATATTTTCCCAGAAGAAGCAATGCCTTCTTATTTTTCTTCACTTCTTCTGTTTGTATTTTCATTTCACTTTATTTTTTATTGGGTTGTTTATATTTTCTTCCTGTTTTTCTCAAGAATTCACCAAAACATCCCGTTAAACCGAAGTTGAAACGTCAAGAAAGATACTCTATGTGTGAATTAAAATGAAGTTGAAATATTGCAAAAAAGTAAAATTTAAACTCAAATATTTGAAAGTAAAAAGTAATTTTAATATAAATAAAAATTTGCATATTTTTATTTGGAATAATAATAAAAATGAGAAGCAAAAGCAAAGTGAAAATGAGAACGAAAAATGCAAACAAAAATAAAACAAAATATTCACATGAGAATATGTTGGATATCCTGCAGGATATTAAGTCAAGTTATGATTTCCAAAACATCAGCACTGCTGCCATATCGTTTTTCGTCTGCAAATTAACTGCACCAGACTTGTCAGTGTTAGTCTAAAGAAAACGCTCAGGGATACGTTTATACTCTGAATAAGATTTTCTACACATAAGACTTTAAGCAGCATTTTTCAGTTAAGGTGCGATTATTTTTTATCTCTCAATTTTTAATGCAGCATAAAATGCGCTCAGGTGTGAAAGGATTTATGCAATGAAAAACCAGGATGAGAAAAACTTCAACTTATGTGAAAGCAACACAAACAAAACCAACCGAAATGTTGCGAACTAAAAAGGAAACAGGAAATAATCTTACTTAGAGACTGACGAATGTATGTGAATGTAACTAACTAAAGTGCAGTACGTTTCACGCCACTGGAATATTGAAATTTCCTTCATCCATATTCACAGACACTTGCAGTCACAGTTTTTTCCACTTCCTTTCAGCACCAGAAACCGCTTCTGCCTTAACGTTATGCACTAAATCGATTATGTAAATTCCTATCCCATCGAATTTTTAAAGCTGCAACTGCCAATTTAACTGACGTTTATGAGTAAAACAATCCAGCACAAAATTGAATAAATATTCCGTGGCATGGAAGAGAACAAACAGTTCCCAAAATGTGTGTGAAATCACTAATCGTATGTCTTCAGTGAGGAATTTAAATTTTAAATTGAAACAGCAAAGATCATATGCAGCTTTCAGCAGCTGTGCGAACAAATTGTTCCAATAAATTAATCACTTATGCAGCCAGTTATCGCATCCAATGTCGGTATAAGCACTTATCCTACTCTCATCCTGAATTACATTTAGCATTTGAATATGCATACGGCTCCAGCCAATTTACAACACCAGGCGGACTTTACGTTGTAAGCGCCAAAATTGCTAACAGCGCGGAGCTCAACGACTGAATCAATTTGCTGGCATGTTAAACCGCAACATGCCTCCTTTCAACGGAAAGCCTGCCGCTTCCATGTAGGAGTGGCGACGAGATATTCACGCAACATTATGCAAATTTAGCTGAAATATTTCATAAACTGTTTCATATGTCAGCTTATGTCTGCCGATATAAAAACAAATATTCTGGATATTCTGGCACACATACATCTTGTTACAGATAAGACAAAATATTCCCCGTGCACTAAAATTAAAAATGTGTAAATTTTAAGTACGAGTACAGTATCATAATTTTGATTAATCTATTCAAATAATATCACAGACACCGTCCAAGTCACAGTCTGTCTCCCAAAAAGATAATGTGCACTTAGGCCTCTTAAGTGGGGTCATAGGAAACCTAAGTTTATAAGAGCATTTGATATCTACTTCGGGCATAGTCTTTTTGTTAACACTAGTAGTATTGCAATACTAGTATTTACTTTTATCGTAGAGGTAAACCGTGCCTACAGTGGAATGGTCAAGGACCACTAATCGGACTCGATGTACAAGACTGTACAAGGCACATATGCAGTCGATGGTCCTGTAGAGACATGCTGCGTCAGGCCAAAAGCTGGTAACAGTTTGTTATGGCTAAATAATTAAGTAAATAGTATCACAAAGATATCAAGAAAGGAGGTGTATGCCAGAGAACTGCAATAATTATTTAGCACTTAACTAATATTTAATTATTGGCTATAACCTATTCTAAATTTCTTTCTCTTTGGCACAAAGAAAATATCTGCTAAATGTGTCAGTTTTAGTTCTGCTAAACATCTTCTACTGTCATTTCTTTTAACACCAGAGCCCTTACCATATATTTATTTCATCTTGGCCGTATTATATCACGAATCCAGTCACACTTTGTTTTTATAATATTAATGTTTGTCGTCATGTTTTCAGTCCATTATTGGTTGAGTCCAACGCTAACTTATCATTAGTTTGTTATCGATCAAAGTATCCCAAGGTATTTTCGAAAGCCTCTATTTGCAGTTTTTATTCTAGTGTATCTCCATATCTTGTTATAAAACTATTTAAATATTTCAATAATTCTTAACTCACAAATTAATAAATGTTTTTTTTTAATTTTAAACATAATTTCTGCTTCGAATCGGTTATTCTATCTAAAACGTCATATTTACCATCTACATAATAGCCTTAGATATATCTATAGCTCAACAAAAAATGGGAGGAATAGTGTCCCGTTTGATTAAACGGTTTAGCTTTTACAATGGATGGTACATTTACGGTACCAACCAAAAGATGAGCTCATCATAAAAAAATGAAGCAGTAACCTTAGTTGCACTAGCGAGAGGAAAAAAAAAGATGGATTGGTAAGGCAAAATACGACTTTGAATAAAGTAGTGTTCGTACCTGCAGCCAAATAGACATTGATCAAAATATCTGAAAACAAATATTAATGGGGTAAATCATTGCTATATTTACTATTATTAGTTCCTTGCTAGTTCATATAAAAATATAGAATAGTCGTTCCAGAGATGTGATGCATTCTTCACACAATGTAACCACTTAATAGCAATACAAAAGCATAATGATTTTCGGATTATATTAGATGATAAGTTTAAGTGTTCCAACCAGTAAGTGATGATTATATCATATCTTTGTGCTCATACATTGCATATCGTGTTGCTTTACATTTTACTAATATATACGCGGTCAATCTGATATGGCAATTAAATTTGTTTTACCTACGATTGTTTCATTCTTGAGTAAACAGTAAAGTTCCTATTTATATATCGTTTCTTTTTTAATACATACCTTATACACCACTCTGCTCATAATATATTCAACTTTTGAGTTATCTGATCAAAGTTTTACGCTAGTGAACAGTGATATAGACATTTGAGAAAGGAAGGTCGCAGTAATAAATAAAAAAAATAATAAACTTATTTAAATTAGTACAAATAAATTATTAAATATATTTTTCTCGATAACTATGGGTGTAATTCGATTTACTGTCTATTTTATGGTATATATGATTCTGATTCTTTATTTCGTTTAAAAAAATAAATATTTATATATTATTATAAAGTTATTATTTATTTTCATACTTTAAAAAATTTAAATATTCAAATTTTAAAATCATAATTCGTTTAATATGACAATTTCACGTTCATCAATCACAAATCTATATTAAAATTATCATGCTAACAAAATCATATATATGTTTATTTATAAAATTTTATAATTGATTAATGTTTACAAATAAATTTTTAAAAAATATCTGTAAGCAAATTAAGTGAAAATTTTTTCAAAATTAAAAATAGTAATAAAATATTGCTTAAAGCAATTATTTTTAGTAATTAAAATGAAATTAATAACGTGAAGTGCCATATTTTAAAGATTAAAATACCTAAAAGTTAATTTTTTTCGAATTTTTGTATATATGAAAATGTATTTTTACTTATTATCGATAACCAAGGGCTTCGCTTGTTCCCAAGTGAATTCTTCACGTCCAAAATGACCATAAGTGCTTGTTCGCTGATATATTGGTTGTCTCAAATTTAAATCTTTTACAATCATACCAGGACGTAAATCAAAATTCTTTTTTATAATATTAAGTAATTCCAATTCAGTTTTATGCGATGAACCATAATCAAATACAGCAATCGATAATGGTTCAGCCAAACCAATTGCATATGATAGTTGAACTAAGCATCGTTTGCATAAACCAGATTTAACCAAAGACTTAGCTACCCAACGCGCAGCATAAGCAGCCGATCTATCTACTTTTGTGAAATCTTTACCCGAAAAAGCTCCTCCACCATGTGCGCCCCAACCACCATAGGTGTCTACAATTATTTTACGTCCAGTGAGACCAGCATCACCCATCGGGCCGCCAATAACAAATTTACCGCATGGATTAATATGTATTATTGTATTAGCATCAAAGTACATAGGTGGTATTACATGTTTAATCACCTTTTCGAGAACCTGTGCACGTAAGTCATCTAAAGATATATGCTCAGAATGTTGGACCGATACAACGACAGCCTGCACACGTAATGGTATGGCAGCACCATTACGAAAATGATACTCGCATGTAACCTGTGTCTTAGAGTCAGGACGTGCCCAATCCAATTCACCAGAACGACGTAATTCAGCAATACGTTTGTTTAAGTTATGTGCTAAAATTACTGTTAAAGGCATACATTCATCAGTTTCATCAGTAGCATAGCCGAACATAATGCCCTGATCACCAGCACCAATTTCCTCATCAGGACGATTAGCATGTACGCCTGCAGCTATTTCCGGGGATTGCTGATCTAAGGCTAACAATACATTACATGTTTTATAATCAAAACCTTTGGAACTGTCATCGTAACCAATTTCCTTAACAGTATTGCGTACTACATTTTGATAATCCACGACTGCATTAGATGTTATTTCTCCGCAAAGTAAAATCATACCAGTTTTTGTAACAGTCTCACAAGCAACCTTAGCATTTGGATCTTGACGCAAGTGTGCATCTAAAATTGCATCACTTATTTGATCACAAATCTTATCTGGATGACCTTCGCCAACGGATTCAGAAGTGTATAAAAAGACTTGATCGTCTATAACATTGTTGGGCAATGTCATACCATTAATCATTCCATTAACTTTTGCTGTAGCTAGTGGCATCTTAAAGTGATATTCTAGAAAAAAAATGTAAGAAGTAATTATTATAACTAAATTTTAAAAAAATATGAAAATTGATACAATTATAAAATTAATAACATTTTTTATTACTTATTAATTAATTGAATTTTTGGCTGACCATATAACTTTTTCGACTATCGCCAAGCAATAATAATCATCAAAAAATCCAATTAATTAATAAATAATAAAAATAATTAATAAATAATAAAAATAATTAATTAAATAATAAAAAAATGTTTGTTGTTGTAATTCACTACTGTTCAAAATACGTCTCTATTGAAACAATAGTCTATAAAGAAACATGGTTTCTTTTGTCATAATAAGCTTTAAAAGTCAAATTTAATATAAAATTAACAATATTGCAGTACGCTTACATTGTCAAAATTATAGTTATAATTGTAAGTGTAAATACAGAGATCATTTACTTTTTAGTCTTTCACAAAATATTCAAACATAAATATTCTGAGATATATTTTTTATGAAACAATTATTTCTATTCTGCACATTTACACTTTAATTTCAGTAATTGTACTATTTTAATTTTATGTTAATTAAATCATTTCATAAAAATAAATTATTTATAAAATATTCGCTAACACTTACATTATATCAAACTGAAGATTGAAAATATTTTTGTCAATACGATCAAAAACAAGACACTTTAGCAAATGTCTTAATAATCTAAATTTGCCCAACGGGAAAAGAGAGGAAAAAAAATTTAGAAGGAAGTTTTAAGCGTCGATATACATATTTTTTTGCTATTACATCATATTAGACATGTTAGACCCTTTTGCACACTATACCAATTTTAGAAAATATATTGAGATATTTAGAAACTAAATAATAATAGCATCGTTAATTAAATATTACTTTAATATTATTACATAGACAAAAAAGAATAATAATTTTTATAGACCTTCAAAATAATTCTTATTCACTTTTTTATCGTTAATGACTACGCGTAGGAATGAAACACTAAAATAGTGAGAACAAAGGTAATTAAAAAGGGACGCTTGTTTGTTAAGGAGTTAACAAAGTTGCGAAACATTCGGTAAAAGCTTCACTTCGTACACATATAGTATAGCATTACTTCAAAGTAAAGATTAAGACAAATTTTGTTTATAAAAAAACTGAAAGTTATAGCCAAGTATATAAAACAATTAAGCCACACAAGTTTGCTACTGAATATTTGAAATTTCGACTCATATATGCTACTTTAAGAGAACCACACTTATAAAAAATGAGCAAGCAACTCAACTATATCTCTACAATTTATCGTAAGCTATAAAATATATGATTTCAAGCTGTCTGTCTTAGCATATAAAGAAATATTTTTTTTCGAAAGCTTAATCCATTTTTCCTACACTATATCTTCAATATATCAATATAAATAAACAAATCTAAATGTAAATTAACTCGAATAGAAGCTGGTAGCCCTGGCAGCTTGTACTTTATTTATAATTATCATTATGATTAAAACAAATAAATAAAAATATTTTCGATATACTATTGGTTTGGGTGGGCAGAAGAATATATTATATATTATAATATACAAAAATTATTATTATTAACGCAAATAAAAAAATACCGTTGTAAATTTTAATTTAATATATATTTTAAATATGAACATTTAAGTATGTTATAAGCTAACGTTACGACGAAGCACAACTGTACGTAATTTCGCAACAGTTCTCAGGTTCTTTGAAAATAAAAAGTTTGCTTATTTGAACGTAACACGCCACTGCTTTGAACATCTGATTTCCATTGACTAAACGATATTAGTTTGAAGGGAAGATATATAAATGTACTTTTTAAATATTATATTATTAAAAAATTAAAATCAATAATTTTGTGTTCATATCGATGTCAATTTATTTTATAATAAAATAAGCACAAATCTTTACAACAACAAAGTCCAAATATAAACAAACACCCTTTCTTTAATTGTTTACATTGCAAAACTGTCGGCGCAAATTCAACACGCATTTCACACTATTTTTGTTTTTGTTCTTTATTGTCTAACTGCTTTTATTGCACAAGCCGTGAATAGCTTTCGATTTCTCCAGAATGTGAAAAAATTTTATAAAATGTTTTAATCATAAAACACACTTTATCCATTTTACTCTTTTTTTATTAATTAAGATGATTTTAATATTAGAGTACAACTTTTTATATATTTCATTAAGCAAAATTTGTAAGAAAACATAGTTTTGTTTATGCCGGCATGACACGAAAAACCAATAACAAAACAATAAGCCGGTTACACAAATCGCAAAAGCTAATGAAATCTAATTTGTATTACTAACAGCTTTTTAGCATTACTTATACAAAAACGAAAATCACATTTTAATTATTACCTTATCGAATTGTATTCAGTTTTATCAGACAAAATTTATTCCAGTTATAACACACTTAAAGTATGACGTCCAATATTAAACTGACCTATTTTTGCGAATGCTGGGAAGAGCACAACTTCATAAAACGGTGGTGGTTAAATAAAAAAGGTGTTGCCAATCATTTGATTTTTCGCAGTAAATAAAAATGTTATTAAGTTTGGTGAATAAATGTAAGCTTAAAATATATAGAAATTGTTTGCTACGTGTATTAATAAAAGTTTTGTGTTCAAATTTTAGCAACAATTAACAATTGAAAGTCATTTAATATAAGAAATTTGCTTCATTTAATTAAGCAAATTAAATTTTCACATTAAATTAAAATGTTGTGTAATTTGGTGAATAAGCGTAAGCTTAAAATATATAAATATTGTTTGCTACGTGTATTTTTAATAAAAGCTTTACGTTAAACTTTAAGCATAAATTATGATTTAAATATAATTTCACAAAATTTGAAATATTTAAAACACTTCACAAATTTTTTGTAACAGAAAAGGATTTCTTTTTAAGACCTGCGGTATGTTAATAAGCTGGAGTATTAAATATTGAGATCTTATAAAAAAAATGCTCTAACACTTTCACATTTTACAAATTTAGCACAAGTGTAGTGTACTAAATACAAATCGTTAAAAGGTATATAAAAAAATTAATCTAAAATATATTGAAAAATGTATATAGAAATATATTGAACGAATATGTACAGTATAGAAACTAACTAAACCAAATATGACACTTATTATCGTTTAGCCATCGAATTTTACTAAAGTAAGTTCCCAGACGTTCAATGTTTAAATTATTGTTCAGACCTTTCATTTTGACAGTTATTGTTTTTGTGATCTCTTTATTTGTTGGTATTTTTCTGTTTATATATTCTTCATTATAAGTTTTGGTATACTTGTATACTTTGTAACCAAATATTATGTTAAAAATAAACATATAATTTCGACATTTTTTATCAAAAACATATTAATAGTATAATTATAAAATGAAGCTAACTTTCAATATGACGAATTTTGGCGGTAACTATTTTTATAAAAAGTAAGCTTTGGTAACTAATTTTGTGTGAAAGTCATCTTCTTCCACTACTGAAATTTGTAACGCAAACATTTAGAAAGACCACGTTACGTTTTTTAATAATAAAATTATAATTAAAATTAACATATTCAATATACGGTAACAAAGTTAATTTAATAATAATATAATATAAAATATATATATATATGCTGTTGTATATATAAATTATGATAATACTAACAAAAATTTTATCCACTACACAAGTTCGATATATAGTCACGCTTTTTAGTTTTCAAAGTCTTCAAAGCTTTTTAAGTCTGGCATTTCTGTTGTGGTGAGTTTAATAATTGCGCCTTATTTTGCTTGCCTCGCTTCTATAAAGAATTTTGCTGATGTTGCATTCAATTATTTAACGTTTAAAAAAATTTGAACTTTATTTAATAATTTACTAAATAAATAAATATATAAATTAAATTAGATAAATATATTTAATGCAAGAAAAGAAACCTTTAATTTAATGATTAATTTGTGTGTGTGAAACAGCATTTATTGTAAAAAATGTTTTTAAGTTATATTTTCATATGTATGTTAATTACATTTTTAGTTAAATTTTATATTATAAAACAAATTTTACTCGTTTATTTCATTTATTTATGAATCAATGTTGGTTATTTGTATTACAAATTTAATAATGGTTAAGTTATAGTAACTTTATTGTAATATTAGATATTATGTCTATTTTTTATATTTTTTATATTATATTTATATTTATATTCTATTTTATTTATTTTTTATTTGTTATATGTTTTGTCTTTTGAAACAATGTATGTATGTATTTCCGGCTTCAAAATAATCAATAAATATTAAACGCTTCGCAACCCTTAAAGTTCGGGTCATATTTTATCGGTTGGGTAGCTTTTGCAGGGTAACTCAAGCGACTAAATATAATGTTTTCACATATCTAGAGTTAAATATATATTCATATATATTAATTAAATCATATAATAAATAAGATTTGCTCGACGTGCTTTAACTGCAGCAGTTACAGAAGAAGCAGACTTTTAACTTTAGTTTAAATAGTGAAAATCGCTTGACTATACCCTTAAGAAATACAAGTTTTTAGAACTAGTTTGTAACATTTTTACTAGAAGGCTTTCATGAAATAATAATACTTAAGAAACATTCTACAATTTGTTTTTTCAAATGTAATTATTATGTTATATAAAATTACATTTTTTTATGTAAATCTTAAAACAATAAAAAAGAATTTGTAAAAGTTTATTCAATAACCTCAGGCCACCTAAAAGTTTGTGAAGTATGAGAAACGCATTGTCGTCAAGTTTAGTCTTCGATGGTAGAGATCGTCTCAACACAGAATGTTGATAAATTTATTGTTAATAAATTGATTGTCGTCACTTTAATTTTAGATACGATGTCTAGTCACACAAATCTATAAATCACAATGTTTTGTTTTTTCTTAAAAGATATTGACATTTTCTAAATCTATTAAAAAGCTGATTTATTTTGTCAATCAGTTAATTTGTCCCTTTCTCATACAGTCAATAGGTAACTATAACTGTTTGAATTCTGTTGGTTTGTTGGTTTTAATGATTGTTTGTTTGTTGCCGTCCGTTCATTTTTTGAAGTCGACCTTAAACTTTTGTTTAAATAGTTAAAATCGCTTGACTATATCCCTAAGATGTTACAAGAACTAATTAACCAGAACCCACTTATTGTTTTCTTTTTCACCTTCGCAGAGGTGAATGGTATGTCGGTATCTGAAATGCCACTGCATAGAAATTCTAAATGTAGTTTTTGAGAGTGCAACTTCGTTAGAATAATGTGAACAGATTTTCATACAAATCAAGCTTCTTCAATACCGTCTTCCATTTTGGATCTATCAGTGTACTATATCAGTCAGTACTTTATACATTGCGGCTACTGATAACCAGTTTGAATATTATTAGTGGTTTACCTAAAAAAAATTTTTTGTTTAGTTAATGTAGATAAAGTAAGCATAAAGCTGCGCGGACTGCATTTTTTCTTAAGATAAAGATGAATAAGTTAAATGCACTACAAACTTCAGTAAATAACAGTTTACAAATGCAATTAACACAAATTTATAATTAATTTCTCGTTATATAATTAATGCTAAACTAATAAACAAAAACCAATACTAGACTGTTTATTATTGGTACAAATTTCCTATGAACAACTCAAGTTTAACAGTCTATGCCAGTACCTAACTAGATTAAACTTAAGCCAAGTAAATTTTATAAATACAACGCAAATTCGATTTTTTTTTTTATTAATTTATTTATGTATCAGAACTAAAAAATGTTTAATAACTTTAAAAGAAATAAAAAGCTTTAATATATTATGAATTTTTTTTAAATACTATTTGGTCGACCTTTACTTCATTTATATTAAAGTCATAAAAGCTTCAAGGGATTTGTTTATTTTTAATTTTTTTTTATAATTGCATATGAAGTGAACAAGACTATCCAATTTTGTTGGAGTAATAAAATTTTATTTCTGCGGCTGAACATCATTCCTACACTTAAAAGGGTCTCAATCAATTTATCAACAATTACTTTAGTATGGTTTTATGATGAAATTATTACGGGCCACGATACTTGTATAATATAAAGCAGGGCTGTCAAAAGCACGGTCCGCGGTCCACATGTAGCCCGCGGCTAATGTTTGTGAGACCCGCGACATGAATTTAATTGCTATAACTATGCAAATTTTCTTTTGATGTACTGGTAAAATAATATTATTTTCTTTGTATGGTATAACAAATAAATGATTTGTATTGGCCCGCAATTACATCTAGTCTGGACAGCCCTGGTGTTAAGAAAACTTATATCAAAGACAACTACAAACACTTATGCAAATTAGTGATCAGTATAAAAAACGCATAGTTATGATTACTTTTCGACCACTAAGATCAATACAGACATTGTCACTATTTATGAATTGATTATTGACGTTTTAAGTATAGGAAGAATGAATAGTCGCAAAATCGAGATTTTATTATTCCATCAAAATTTTCTTGTCTTGCTCAGTTGAAAAAATAAACAAACTTCTTGGAACAATTAATAATTTTTTTTTAGCTTCATTATAAACAAACTACAAAAATTCGCCCAAATAGTTTCTAAGAAAAAATTCATATTAAAGCGTTTTATTTTTTTTTTAAGATATTCAACATTTTGTAGTTCAAAAACTGTTAATTTTGGTGATACAAGCATTTTCGAAACAAGAATAAAATTTTTAATTACATACGCGTTAGAAATAAACAGACGCTAATATTAATTAATTTTTTAAACTAAGTACATAAGTGTATAATATATATTTTTTTATCTAAAAATACAGAATAAATAAATACGAAAACAATAAATTTTGCGTTGTATTTTCGAAAATTTACTTGTCTTCATTTTAAACAATTTTTGTATTGCCATAGACCCATGTAGACTATGATCAGTTAAATTCGAATTATTTGTAGGAAATTTGTACCAATAATACAGTTTAGTATTAGTTTTTGTTTCATTAGTTTAGCATTAATTATAAGTCGTATAATTAATTATAAATTTGTTTATATTACATTTGGAAACTGTTGTTTATTAAAGTTTGTATTCCGCCCATTTATCAGCCCTTAAGTCTGTAATCAACAGGAAACTGTGTAAGAAACGGAGAAATATATATAATAAGCAGCTAGTTAGCAGCTCTATGCTTACTTTATTTACATCAATTTAAGAGAAAAACAACAACAATTTATTTAGGTAAACCAAAAAATCATATTCAAACTGGTCATCAGTAGCCGTAATGTATAAAGTACAGACAGATATAGTACACTGATAGATCCAAAATGGAAGACGGTATTGAAGAAGCTGAGCTTATGTGAAAATGTGTTAACATTATTCTAACGGAGTTACACTTTCAAAAGCTATACATTGAGAATTTCAACGCAATCGCATTTGACATACCGACATATGTAGCTTTTCGGAGATCACCTCTGCGAAGGTGAAAAAGAAAACATTAAGTGGG